TGGTCACAATACGGAAATTTTGAGAACTCGAGAAAAAATTTTGTTGGTTTTCGTACACTTCTACCCAAATTCGTATATATGAACTTATGGAAACTCCAAAGCTCAGCTGCTGAAACACTGCATGTGAAAATTCTTCGTAATTTTTTTCATACAAAACACCACTGCTGCGATTCCTTACTTCTAGTTTTCGCAAATCTCGGATATCTTCCCGTAAAGCCATACTTCTCTGCAGCCTCACTGAATGCCCTTGAATGTCTTGTGCGATCTACCAAAACAATGAACAATCGTCATCATCGACTGATGATGAAAATTCACTTCAGCCTGATGCTGATCAGAATGCAGGGCGGCCCAGGCGCCGAACGTACCTAAAATGCAGATTATGTTTTCATAAACTTTTATATGTAATATTAATGGAGTTTCACAACCCGTTTTACGTAAAGTGGCGTAAAACGCGATATTCGCGGTGATATGCAGTAGTCGTGAAATATGTTTTTCACTAGTATTTTTCATATCACTAGGGTGGTGAAACTCCATTATAGGAACGTTGAACACAGTCGCGATTAGAGATTCACCAAATTTCCAAAGATCAACTCACCGCTAGCCACATTTAGAGTAGCAGTAGCACCGTTAATGAGTGCGCCAACTAAAGGGAATACCATAGTGTGTTAAAATGGGGTGAAAAAAAACGACACATGAAAATCTTCAATAACGACAACAATTATCACAACTGCATAAACTGTCTCCGGTGAAACGTGATGAATATTCCGTAAAATCTACTGTTAATTCGAGGTTGGTCATTTCAACAGCTGAGCTTAGATATTTACACATGAATTCAGTTAGAAATGTCCAAAAACTCATGAAAATTTTTAGGAAAATTCCTCCAGAATTTTCCTATTTTCCTCCATTTTCGTTCATTTTTGATGTGAGTATATATGTGATACTCTAGATGCTCCACTCGAAAACAACGAATTCATGAATATACATTCCTGAAGACTACATGTCATGGAGTTTTACAACCCGTTTTACGTGAAGTGGCGTCGTAATACTCTGTGAAAAACGCGATATTCGCGGTGATATATTTTTCACTAGTGTTTTCATATCGCTAGGGTGGTGAAACTCCAATGATCAATGATTAGCACTAACAGACGTCCACAACAGCTCCTCTCGTTATTCTAACTCCATAGGGCGCGGGTTCAACACCACTTGAAAAATTGCCATAATTTTATTCCAAAATCAATTGCGAGCAGACTCCATGCAATTTTAGCTTCACAGTGGTAACGTTCGCACAGACCATATTTTCGATCTATAGACAGCGTCATAGATGTGCCACCGTCGTAATAACACAATAATTGTCCCCGATCTATTATTTTCGTTATCGCTCAGTTCCTCACACAACTGGTTATAATTTCATCTACAAATTTTAGAGGCCTTTTTCGCATTTAGTAAGATCTATTTCGCAGGGCGAGCGATCATCCGAGCCAAGATATGCCTTAGTAAGATCGATTTCGCCAGCGCGCTCGATAGAAGAATCAATTTCGACGACACGTCTGAAGTAAGTTCCATTTTGACGAAAGGCGGAAATCAATTTCGCTGATAGTATGTTCAATTTGGCTCGACGGCAGATTATACACCGTGCATCGTACTAGTTTTTCCTACTCACTACTAGTAACTAGTGCTGAAAAATATGTAATCGCTTTCCTCACCTGAGCTCGGCAGTTTCCTCACTAAACATTCACGTTAGCATACGAATCAGTGTAAAAATGTATAAAACTCAATGAGAATTTCTCAAAATTTTCTCACAATTCTTATTTTGTCACCAACACATGTGTAGTCGCCTTTCCTCAGTTGTAACTTCGGAACGCGACATAGGGAGTCGGTAAAGAGGGACCTCAGCAACGTCGGCTGATGCGAATGCACGCCGTTCCCTATATGGGGGAATCGATCAACTTGGTTTACTGCGCACAATCATGCTGTCTCCTATTCAACGGTTTCATCAACACATATTTTTCCACACTACTAATAACAGTTGGCTTGTCGAGTGCAACAAACTTAGCATCACAGTAAAATTCCACATTTAAATTGACATCTCCCATGATGAACTTTATGAAAATTTTCCATCATTAACTTTAGTTATACCAACAAATGCTCAAATATTGTTCGAAACACAGGTTATATATGAGAAAGCATAAAATGAAGTGTATGAAACTGCGTGATAACATCATCAACAGTTAATTTTCGGTTGCTGCAATCCAATCGGTGACCAAAAACCTCGTATGGGAATCTGGAAGAGCAGTGTTGGAGGAATATACAGTTATGCATATCTAAATTTTATGAGATGCTTCGATTATATATCACAAAACACATCTATAACGTTGGTGTAACTCGATGCACTTTGTTGTTATCATGTCCACTTTCAAGCTCTCCAAAATTGAAGGTGTTGAAAATATAATTTTGCATAACGATTTGGTTCACACTGTATGTTTGCTTTTTTCCTCTATGATTATACATTAAATGAACAAAAACTACAAAAAAATTCCTCCCAGAATTTTCATGTTGTCACCAACAAACGTAGTTGATCATGCGCATATTCCCCCCTAGGCAGGGCTGTTGAAACTGTGATATTCGCTTCTTGCATCTGCTGCCATAACTTGACTTCATCGCTTCATAACTATAACTTGATGCTCCTACGCTTCTTGGCATCATCGCTGCCAAAAATGATGTAATAAAGTAAAATGCATCATTGACACACTCCGGAAATGGAATCTGCCAGCCCTTCTCCCACTACACGGCTTTCTCCATATCGTCATAACTTGCCGAGTATAGGAAATGATTTGACTACCATTCGAGAGAGCTCCTCGAGAGCTCTTCATAATTCTCGCGCCCCACGAAGAGCTGGGCCCATTTTTTCAGCCTATCACCCTGTATTAGCTTTTTCTTTCCTCAGCATATCATGAAAATACGCAAGATATGTGATTGTGATAACTTAGCGTGCTTGGTACTATCATAACCATATGCGCTCACACTTGTTCGGGCCGTCCGACGAAATAATATCCCGACAAAGATGATGCACATCGTGAAACACTTCGCTCCGCTGTGCTAGGTACGAGACGATTCCAACATAAAATCTATGGATTTTAGACACCTTCCTCACGTGTTGAGTCCTATGTCTATCAACTCTCCTCACTGGCATAACTAAAGTATAGGTAAGAGGCCGCCCGAATCGGGCGGCCTCTTATCTTAGCTCGAAATTATAATTTCCTCGAGTGCCACAGATTTCCCCTAAATCGACTATCATCGCGATGTCCCTCCGTTTCGGCGTCCTCTTCCTCGTCAGTGTTACGATGATCGCTAAAGTCTCTTCCAAGACTATCGTGTTACCGTACACACCCGATGAGGATAATCGCGAATCACGTTCTATCGCCCATCACTAATTCATCAACAACCTCCAGTACGGTTCGATTACTGATGATTACTGCTATCGATGCTTAAATGGAATTGCATTCTTGCATGCATTGTTGTGTGATCCTGTATGCAGTATATCATGACTTTAGTTTCAAGTGACCGTCCAAATTCTCCCTCGAGACCGTTATGATAATCGCTAAAGTCACTTCCAAGACAATCGTGTCACCATAAACACCCGATAAGGATGACCGCACATCACAATTGATGATAAAAAAAACTTCGCTCCGCCGCCAATCGACAGCTGGCTCAAATTGCTGTTCATTACTATTAGAGATGGTTCAGACCGCTGTAGATGAAAATTAATTGTTGCATGCATTGTTGTGTGATCCTGTATGTAGTTTACCACGTCTTGAGTTTCAAGTGAGAGTAGTACAAGCTAGAACCAGTCGGCAACTTCCCGAAACAGTTTGCCGACTAGTAAATACATTCTAATGAGCTTATTTGGTCACATGGTTAACCTATGTATTCATAAACTGAAAGGTCTCGGATCTATCTCTGGGTCCGGCTTTTACACAGAGTGTTCGATTGGACGCATAGGTTTCCGTCTAGTAAAATGCATACCCGACATGGTTGAGGACCAGTCCTCACTGAGGAGTCCTCAGTCGGTGTGGTGAAATATGCACATGGTAAACTACGTGTGTTGGTGGAAATATGTAAATTCTGGGAGAAAATTTTGGGAAATTCTTATTGCTTTCTGTACACTTTTACCCGACTCAGCTCAACTGAGGAAAGCGAGTGCATTGCCCCCAACACGTGGCCACTTCAGCGTGTCACATGAATTAACGCCATAATTCATACCACACCTCCGCTTCATCATCGCACGCTCCCCATGCTCACCGTTTTCCTCGAACATAATCGTCCAACTGTGGACAATGCTGTTGTTCTTTCCCATCAAAGGCCAACAAGCATTGACATTCGCAGGTCAGCAACCGTACCAACCATCGCAGCGTCGGATCTCCTGTAACAACAACAACAACATGCGATAAAGGATCGGTTTCGCTCTCACCAGTGGGTTTGGGCAATTTATACACGGTGGTATCGATTATGATCCACCAGGAATTTTGTTCTGCTTTCAGCAACTCATCAGGGAACATCAAGTCTCGCATAATTGATAGAGTAGTCAAACTGGTACGGTGGGCATGGGCGAAGACTGGACCTGCGAAGACCGGAGGTTCTATGCCCACACCCAACGTTTTTCATTTACCATCGTATGTAGCCTCCTGAACACTTTCCCCATCACAGTAAGACAAAACACTCGAGTTTATACAGTGTCGTTCATTCGGCGGGGGATTATTGAAACCCTAGAGCGAAAAAATCTTCCCGAAAAAACCGAAAATTCCTGATATTTTCCGGTATGGTGTGCGAAAAAAAAGGAAATAAGGTCCGAATACTCAACTGCTCAGATGTCGGATAACCCCAATTGCGATCAAATTCAACGCGTGAGTTCCACACTGTGGAGCTCATTTTCCATAATGTACATCTCAACGTATTCGCGGGTAATTCTCAGAAACATTCAACAAAATTCTCAAGTCTCAGTTGAAATTTCGTGGATGATAATTTTACAAAAAAATACACAAGTTGAGAACCAACACAGACCAACTCATCGAATTCAATTCCACGATGCTGCTATATTGGTATAGTAAAAGCCCGAACTCTCATGGATATACTCACTTCGTTGTAGAAAACATGTCCTAGGTGTATGCCACATTTGCCACACTTTACTTCAGTCCTCACATTATCCTCATCACTTTGAAGCGACAATATAGCATCTTCAGCGGAGCGATAAAAACCCGGCCAGCCTAATACGAACTGGCACTGAATATCCAAGGTCACTCAAGAGAAGATACGAATGACGTTTGAGGCACTCTCACTTCGAATCGATCGTTACACTATTCTCACCACAACCACAATCGAACTTATGCTTAGCATCATACAATATACTGCCGCACTCTCGGCAGAGATACTTCCCACGTCCAGGAAAGTGGTCATCCCATCCCCCTAATTAGCATCATAACAAGCTTTATATTCATACTGTA